GTGGATCCTTTCTTGGCCCTTTTGCAGATCTCGTCGTTTAGTAAAGTACCTACACCGGACGGCCGCTAATTACTTCGCAGCATCGGAAATTACAACACTTCACTAACATCATTCCTGTGCATTCAGTTGTGATTGCATTAAATTTCATCAGTGAGCTGGACAAGCTTAAGCGACATGGCGTTAAACTCTTAAGGCGGCACTAAGACTAACTGCCTCCACAAAGACAAATTCAATTGCCTGAAGTGTTGTTGCGTTTGTGTATGAAAGGTATAAATACCTAACGATGGAACAAATGCACTTTAACTACACCTATTCCACGGTTCATGACCGGGGATGGTAAAAACAAGGAACTTTACTGAACGTTTGGTTCAAAGCAAAAGCCCAATTATGCTGCAAAGTCCGAACCTCACGTTAATCATATGCATCCAAGTTTTAATCGAAACCGGTGGAATTAAGATCTCAATGTAGCATTCACATCCAAAGACAAATTCAGTTATCCACATTATAATTGACTTTCCCATGTAAGACGTCATCTACGAACGACTGGATAAATGTACCCAAATTTGCCCATTCCACGGTCCTCGACGAGGAGGAATGACCAAAAGCAATGCACTTTTATGAATATTTAATCTGTCGTGGAAGGAGAAAACGTAACTTACACGACAAAATCACAACCTCACTTCAATCATGTGTGCCTGACCTCTAAACAACGCCAGAGTTATTCCTGCACTTCCAATGAGTCAGTCTTGTTTTGAGACTCTCGACTAATCATTACTTAGCATGGCAAACAGTAGAATCCGTTGCTAAAGGCGACCAGAATGCAGAACTCCCGCTATGTAACTCAAAATCTAACAGCTGTATTGACTCAGAGAACCACACAGTGAGAGACAAAATCAGAGCCGAAATCGTAGTCGTGCATGTCTGATGGAGAAAAGGGTGCGATTGATAAGACATGCTGAAAGAAAGCGCCTTCTTTTCAAAATGACTTTGACTGACAAGTCATTGAAGCAAACAGACAGGAAAGGGCAAGTGAAACTGAAGGGCTAAAACGCAAAATCGACCTAGCATTAACCTATCACAGCCAGGACACCGGTCGTAGCCACGAAAGCAAGGCGTCAATTGCTGTAATGTCAAACACTTCCGGGTCACAATTTTGGCGGCAAGAGTGAGGAAAATCAGCACTATCCCCTCTTCAATCACATGCTCCATTGTCTTTTCAAGATTCACTGAAGCCTACTTCCACGATGAAGTCCTCCTACAGCACCACAGGATCCGACAGTGACCAAGCTGGACTTTCAAGTCTCATTTAAGCATTCACTAAACACCTTTTTTGTCTTCGAACACTGAAGACGGCTTTTGTCGCTTATAACTTTCTGATAATGTGAATACCTTTAAATCCATCCATCCTCACCGGAAGGGCAGAATCCCTCCTACAGAAGCCCATATGACTGAACTGCGGGACATGTTATAACATCTCCCTCACGCCCATACATATTCACTGGACTTGCCTGTAACACTACCAAGGCATATTATCAATTCACACTTGTTGGCAGCCATTGTCCTTCAGTGACAGTACGGCACGAGGAAGTGAGTTAAGGACCAGTTAATCATGCAGGTCTACGGTGACCCCCAAATACATTGCTGATAGAATTAATGAAGGCGATAAGGCAAAGTGAGAAGTCGTTGCAAAAATAAACATCTTTCTTCTGACGTATATAAAACCATCACTTTTGCTCCTTAAATTACATCGGATTTATGCACAATGCGCTGTTGTTTTCAGCACACAATTGCATTTCTTATGGCGATCAAGCACTCGGAATACTGAGTTCACTGCACCATTATGTACTTTAGTGCTATAGAAGTAATGTAGTCAATAAATTTTCATCCTTTCCAGGCCTTACACGAGTGTATGCTGCAAACGTAGACATCGAAAAATTATATATCCATCTCTATTCTGTCTTCAACACGGTTAACTGGTCGAGATTAGTGGAATTAGTATCCAGTGCGATTGCGGTCATGAGGGAAGGGAGGAACTCTGTCAGAGAATTGTTTACTTGGTAAGAGGAGACATAAAGAAGGGTTAATTACACGCATCCAAGGTGTGGAAGGTTAGGGCATTGGTCTGACCCGAAGGCCACCTTACGCAAACAAATGCAAGACAGGCCTATTTGTTGCTGCCACTCCTACACATCGTTACTTATTAAAAGTGTTACAGAAGCCTCTCTAAATCAAAGTCTCTATACAGTCTGCGAATGTCCCGTCCCCTACCGCCACGGTAATATAGCTAGCTGAGATGGCACATCAACTGCATTTGCTGTTGATTACACGTTTACGGGTCCCACGATGTGTTTATTTACAACAAAGCCACCGCATAGATGTGTTGCATCCCGCATTCTAGAATCCAATTTTCCATATGCCTATGTGCGACTGTTTATACCTTCAGTTTTCTTTATCTGCTACATAAAGTACTGCCACAGCAACCGCATAGTCATTGGTGTGGCTACGACGCGTGATAGTGTGTGTTTGTAACTGAGGCCCTAAGGAATGACGTCTTGTTGTGCTATTTTGCTCACTTGGACTTCCAGTTTAAATTTCCATTTGGTGCGTGGACAAAGACCTGCACCCTGTGATTCGGAAAGAGTTTGGAACCACACTTGTTATTGTACTCGGATTTCTGCTGATAAAATTGTAAGGCGCCTTCGACAAGGTCGGTAGTGCTCTCTCGAATGAATTACTGGAAGTTAAGGAGACAGAGACTAAGAAACGCATTGCCGGCTCCGACAACTTATTGTCCAATTCCACTGCAAAAACATTTCTAGCTGCTTGTGCCATGTAGAGCCGATCAACCTGTGAGCAGGCTGGTTTGATCACTGTGACTCTTTGCCAGGCTATTAATGGCACATCGGGGTCTGCCGATGTCCTCGCGACTTCCGAGGCTAAAAGAATTTGTGAGTCTCGTATAATTTCTTGGCAACATTGTGGGGGTTTTTGGCCCTTGCTATGCACCTTTGGAGCACACCTATACTTAAGTCATGAATTTAAAAACAATGCACCACTAGATGCTACCTGTCTGTAGCAGTATGGAGAAAAACTCCTACACGAATGAACGTTCGCTCATGCCAAGTAATCATGTCAATAGGGCTGGAAAAA